TAGTCATTTCCTCTAATTCATCTGTTTGTTTGGGTTCACTTTGCAGCTTAGATAGATCAGGTAAGCTATTTGAAAATCCATCTATAGTGGTTGGAAGGATTGTTCTGCCTGGTCTATAACGTGGCGCAACATGACATATTTCAGCAGTACGTATTATGCAAGTCACCATGTAATGATCAGTGACATCATCGCTTTGCGGTATAATATCTATATCAGTTGGATCGGTTCCATATGATATAATTAAATCTAGTGTATGATTTAGACGATGAGTGGGGCCACTGACGTTTTGTTTGACCCCAAAGGAGTTTAATAAATCTGTAAACGCAGCCCCTAAAGCATCATTTGTATTATCTACGTGTATGTTAAAATCTCCAGCAATTATTGCTTTATCGACATTTACCAATAGATCCGAGAGAAAGTCTGCGAACTCTTTTAGGAATTCAGCATATGGCCCTGGAGGTCTATATACAGTAGCCAGGGCTAGAGATAATATAGATTTCCTTCTTACATCTAAGAGCGTAACATTTAGCACAAGTACTTCAAATGAATTAAACCTGTGACCTGTTTTCTGAGTAATATTAAAAATATCTTTATAGATTGTTGCAACACCGCCGCCACGACCGATCAGACGAGGCTCATGTTTATAACAGTATCCTGGCGGAGTAGATTCGTTTAGACCGAAATACTCATTTGGTTTAAGCCAGGTTTCAGTAAGGCACAGAACATCGAAGTTATTATCTGTGACCATTTCATTTACAATAACCGCCTTAGGTGTGAGCGATCTAATGTTTAGGAGACCTAGCTTTAGAAATTGTTTTTGTTGACTGCTATTTAGATTTTCTGGTTTAATTACAATAAGATTTTTGCTAGATCCTACACTAGATTTATTGTTTGGCTTCACTAAACGAGGAATAGACACAGTTTCTATATAATGTTCCACACTATGCTTATTAGTTAAGTTTGGACCGCAAAGGCTGTAATTTGGACTTTGACTCATTAGTCATTTGGTGCGTAGTGTCTTGGAAATGTTGTCCGACAGCACAGCCGCTCCGATTCGGCTGGGATGGAGACCATCTGTGCTGTACAGTCTCGGTCTTTCCCAAAACAGATGCCAGTTATTTACAAAGTGCAGCCCCTGTTCATTACACAATGACATTAACCATTCATTTAATGCAAAAAGTCTACTGAACCTTTCCTGTCCTTGTCTGTACGTGGGAAGCGGTCCAGACACGATGATCGCTGCTTTAGGCGCTGTGCTGCGTACCGTCTCGATCAGGCTCCTGTAGTCCTTCTTCAGAACCTCCGTCTGCCGCAGCCTGATGTCGTTCGCTCCCGCGTGCAGCACAACAGCTCCGACGCGCACTTTTGTTCTACAAATGTAGACCTAAAAAAGACCTAAAACGGAGAAGTTTAGAAACGCTGCAGCTGTGTTTTGCGTTTTGAATATCCGGAGGGCGTTTTAGTGTGGACGAGACAAAACGGAGGAGTTTACAAACGATGACGCAGAGGCTCACGCTCGGCTCTATGATTGGGTGTTATCAGTCATGACGTATCCTTCCCTGATTCGTCATTCACTGTTTACACCGGCACGCGCATGCCCAGTGTTGGTGAATGGTCACGTGATCCGCGTTTTCAGTCGTTTTAATGTGGACGGAGATCGTTTCTAATACACAGATAAAACGCTGGTGTGGACGGAGATCGTATTCGTTTTGTAAAAAGGGACACGAAATCGATCCAAATAGTGGAGTTCGATTCGTGGTGAAGGTTTCAAGCGTGTTCCGTCTTTTCCAAGCAAAGTGAATTTTAATTAAATGCAATACATTTAATCTTATGTATTAACTCGCTTCATCTGACTCCATAAATTGAAAAGGGTTTATCAATGATATCTCTGCATCATTTAATACGTTAATGCTTGACTATTCCTTTTAACTCTAATGAAAATAAAGTCAAAGTCTGTTAGAATAGCCAAATAACAATTTATTATGTCAGGTAAATGTATCATTAGAATTCCACAAGATAATTAGAGCAAACCATCAAATGTTTTAGAACAAAGAGCTTTACCCAACATAGGCTACATGAGCTGAGCCTTGAAGACACAACATCATGGGCTGATCTGAATACAGAAAGGCAGCCCCGAACTCTAGTTACATCTCCCTTTATAATCAGACCTCACCTGATATGTAAATCACCAGGATACAATGGAAAGTTACTGAATCCCCCTACCATGTTTATTGGGCGCAGACCATTTGCTTGGTTGTAATTTGCATTCAGACAACAAGGCAGAAGGTGTCAACTCAAAGACCACACTCCTTTGTGTGACAGTGATTCCTAAACTTCTTAAAAACCTTATTACCTTTTCTTTTATTACTTTGGGAATGAGACATTATTCAGTCCCTCCAGAAAAACGCGATTATGCGATCGCTGAATTCAATGCAAAATCTGCCAAAGTCCGCATATTTATGCGGGGGCCGCATTTTTTCGAATAAGCCGTACTTTCGCCGCATAAAATGCCGATTTCCATGCAAAATATGCGGGGCTTGCATGATTTCATAATCCTCGCACTTTCGTTGCAAAAAAAAGTCACATATATCTTCGCAGAAAGTTGAAAAATGTTGCGTTTGCTTCATACAAGAGCAGCCATTTCCTCCTGTTTCCATGGGAACGTTATGAAGTGACGCAATTACGCGACGGGAGAGCTCACAGCTGAAGTTATTGCAGAGGCCAGAAAGACTCACGGAGGCAATTGACATCTCACAAATCGAATTCGTATAACTGTCTGTCACACGTTCTACCATCACATCGTTACTTAATAAACAAAATAAGATAAAAGAATAAGCATCAAACAGAAATTACCCGCACACATGGGGTGTTTGAGGCGCACACACTGCAGTTCAGCGCGCAGCTCTTAAAGGGGCCACACCTTATTTACACTCGTTACAGTCTGAAATAAAACATAGCTGATTTTGTAATTGTGAAAGAGAGTCTATTGTGCACAGTTTATTGTTTGAATGTCCCTATTTTTCAATCTTTTGGAATGAGATGTCTCAATTTCTAGGTTTTAAAATGAATTGCAACCTTGTCTTAAATTTGTCATCTTCATACAAATGATTTTGACTTTCCTATAAGAAAAATATATGTTATCGATTTTTTCTATTATTAGGAAAATTTCATATTCATCAAACTAAGTGGAGTAACTCAAAACCCAACTTTGCTCATTTCAAAACTCGAAAAGCCCAAAAGATCTGTATCTCTGCTAAAGGAATTTAATATGTCTGTGATGCCCTCTATCTTTTTTTTTTTCTTTTTTTTTTTTTCCAAATTATTGTTTCATGTTTTAGGTTACTTCTCAGATGTTATACTTATCAGAAAATGTGTAAAAGAAATGTCAAGAACTTGATATCAAACTCTGTGATTTTGAAAATTTAATAAAAATAAAACAAGATGAGAAATTAAATATTCCCAGCACTTTCTATGATCTAGTATGCTTGCTACATCATAGAAAGTAATAAGAAATGACTCTTTACATTAAGGTAGTAGCCTAGTGAGAACAGGGTGTTGGGGGAATCACTTTTTTTCTCTTTTTCATCAAACCGCAGTTTTTGCAAGTTCCCGCAATTTTTGCAAGTTCCCACAATTTTTGCAAGTTCCCGCAATTTTTGCAAGTTCCCGCAATTTTTGCAAGTTCCCGCAATTTCATTGCATAAAATTGCATAAATATCCCGCATATTCCATCGCATTTTTAAAGAAAACGGGCCGCGTAATCAAGGATATTTGCCCGCAACAATCACAAAAAAACTCCGCGTTTTTCTGGAAGGACTGATTATTACCAGTCACCCTGAGACCATCAAAATGATTCTAAACAATCCTTAAAGATTATCAGATTCACATTAAAACCATATTCTTGTGTGAGTTTTCAGTATCATTGACTGAGAGAGTGAAAGAGAGAAGATGCAGATAAGATGTTCAGAGAAAAGGGGGTAGGGTGTCAAATGTTAATTTGCAAGCAGTGCCATTTGTCTTCAGAGGGCACTGGTCAGATACTTTCTCTTTAACCAGTTTTTCCAGTCTTACAGTTTTAATTCTCCGTTTTTAAACGAAAACGCAGTAGTGTGGACGGGGCCTCAGTCCTCGAATTTGCATCCTCTCGCTCTAGAAACCTGCTGCGCGTGGAAGGCAAGATGGATTTATTTAAGTTGCAGGAAATCCTAGGGGAAAACGTCATGCCGTCAGCTGAAGCGTGAATGTCATTGGACCTACCAACAGGACAATGTTCCCAAACATACCTCAAATTTTACCAAGGCTTAATTTCAGATGAAGTCCTAGAAGATTCTACAGTGCTGTCACAGTCACCTGACTTGAACCCCATGGAAAATCTCTGGAGGGATTTGAAGAAGGCGTTTGCAGCACACAAACCCAAGAATATTTCTGAACTGCAGGCCATTGGCTCTTGGGGAATGGACTAAGATTCCTCAGAAACGCTGCTAGAAGCTGGTGTCTGCTTATACATCTCATTTGCAGCAGGTCATAACAGCAAAAAAGTTGCATTTTGAGTTGAATTTAGGTAAACCACAAGAAACATTTGTTGTGTTGCTATTTCAATTACTTTCGTTTGATTTGTCAATTTACCAATAAACCTTATTTGCAATGGGTGTTGAATAATTTATAATACAACTGTGTGTGTGTATACACACACACACACACACACACACACACACACACACACACACACACACACACACACATATATATATATATATATATATATATATATGTGTGTGTGTGTGTGTGTGTATGTGTGTGTGTGTATATATATATAAATTACTTTGAAAATAACAAGTTAAGATCAACAGTGCCACAAATGTTGTAAATAGAGATAAACATGTACTGAACCCAGAACATTCCTTTGATTATGATTAATAATTAACTTGAACTACTTTTTTATCTGAAGCAATATAGATAAAGTTCAAAAGACAGTAAATCATGACACTATAAAAGGAAAATGAGAGGCTGTGAGGATGAAGAGCAAGACCTGGAAACAAACATCAGTGAAGAATGAAGGGTTTAGTGTGTTTACTGCTGCTGTTGGAAACATTTGTGTGTGTCGTACAGCATCAGGTAGATGGAGGACTCAATGAGAATGGGATCAGTCAACAGCTCAGATCTGAGGACGGAAGACAGAATCCACCTCAAACAGACTCTTTGAGAGATGAAGCTTCAACTGACAGCCAACAAAACTACCATCTGTTCTTCACTGACATTCATGCAGCGCTGAGAGAACTGACCGCCACAGTTACAGAGCAGAAAACAAACATCAGAGAACTGACCGCCACAGTTACAGAGCAGAAAACTAACATCAGAGAACTGACCACCACAGTTACAGAGCAGAAAACACACATCAGAGAACTGACCGCCACAGTTACAGACCAGAAAACCATCAACAGAGCTTTAGAGACGCGACTGAGGGAACAACAATCATTTATCCTGCAAGAGCTTAACAAGAAAAATGACGGTACCTCACCAAAACATTCACTCTTTTATCAATAATCTACAAAGTAACACACGAATGCAATATGATGCTTAGTGTGAGCGTAAAGTGTAAAGTTGATTGTAGACTCTGTAAATGTTGTTATCTATCTATTACAATAATCAGTCTGAATGTCATTTAACAGAATGTTTATTCCTTCACAGAAATATCAAATCTTACTCTGGGTCAAGTGGAGTTGAGAAAGGAAAATAAAGGTGAAAATGTGCTTGAATGATGTTAAATTCAGTCTATACATTCTCAGTGTAATACAGCAATATGTCAAAATATTGTTAATGTTTTTCAATAACAGACAGAGAAATAGCTTTCTCAGCTTCACTGATGCAATCTGGCAGTGGATATATTGGTCCTTTTACCACTGAAATCACACTAACCTACAGGAACGTCTTCACAAACATAGGGAACGCCTACAACCCAATCACAGGTAATTATCAATGAAAGGAGTCATAAAACTCAGTTTATAGTAATGAAAACCCTTCTGTTCCATTCAGACCTCTCTGCAGTTGTGTAATGTAAGAGAATTAAGGGCAGTTTCAATTAAACATGTAAAAATGTGTATGTGATTCAGTCTTGTGCGTTTTGGCAGTTCAGTCACACGACAATGGAGTAATGAAAGTAATTAAAACAAACTTTTGGGCTTCATAGGGCTTCAAAGTGCAGGTTTTTGGAAACAATACCATTATCGTCTCGGTGTAAACAACAAAAACGTGGCCAGGCATCATAATACAGCATTTAAAGTAGTTTACACAAATCTGTGTTAACCCTCAGGTGCTCTTCGTTTCGGAGTCACACTTGTTATCTTCCCGGTCAAAAGTGACCGGACACCTAAAAATGAAACTTTCTCCATCCCAGTAAAACCAATGCAATTTATTTTTGTTCTATAATATTTTTTCTTTTCAATTTAGTATTTTGAGACAATTTAATTGAATTTATTAATATTTATGCAATATTTATGGTTTATTTTTGCCATGGAAATATATATATATATTTTTCTATATATATATTATTTTTTTCAAAAAAAAATTAATGCAGTATTTTAGTTTAATATAGAGTCTAGGCCTTCAGAAAAAAAATATTTTTTGGAGAAAATTAGCACCATCTGGTAACAGTATAGAAAAAAAGCATAGAATCATGGTGTAACCACTAGATGGCATGTACAGCTTTCTATAGAGAGGCATGTGAATTCCCCAGCTGTTTATGAACACATTTTTTTTTTTTTGATTTGTGGATTTGTATATATAGTTGAAACAATCTCAAAAACTATTTCTAATAAAAAAATGACAAAACAAATATTCACAATTTTTTTTTTTTTTCATTTTTTTACAATTTCCCATTCATTTCCTATGGGGTCATTTTTGACCAAAGACCACAAGTGTGACTATTTTTTTTAAGACCACTTAGCATGCTCAGATCATGACCTCAATTTTTTTATGTGTTCACATACATAATGCCATAAAGGTCACCAAGTTTCGTAACATTGCGATGAAGCTGTCATTTTTAAAAATTCAAAACATAATTTTTTTAATCAAAATTTATTGGTGTGTATAAAAGTGTTTGTATGTGTGTGTGTGTGTGTTGGTGGGTGTGTCTGTTTTGCACTCTAGATGTTGTAGTGTGTCACCCCTTGCCTGCGGTGTACTTTTTTTTATTTTTAGGGCCCGAGCACTAACAGTGCGAGGACCCTATTGAAACTGTTAGGATTATTATTAGGGCCCGAGCACTAACAGTGCGAGGACCCTATTGAAACTGTTAGGATTATTAGGGCCCGAGCACTAACAGTGCGAGGACCCTATTGAAACTGTTAGGATTATTAGGGCCCGAGCACTAACAGTGCGAGGACCCTATTGAAACTGTTAGGATTATTAGGGCCCGAGCACTAACAGTGCGAGGACCCTATTGAAACTGTTAGGATTATTTTTAGGGCCCGAGCACTAACAGTGCGAGGACCCTATTGAAACTGTTAGGATTATTTTTAGGGCCCGAGCACTAACAGTGCGAGGATTATTAGGGCCCGAGCACTAACAGTGCGAGGACCCTATTGAAACTGTTAGATTATTATTATTTTTTTTTTTTTTTTTTTTTTTTTTTTTCTGCAAAGTAAGTGCCATTTTCGGGGCCGCAACATGCTCAAAAACTCACCAAATTTGGCACGCATGTCAGGACTGGTGAAAAATTTCGTATTTTGTGGGTTTCGCAGATGGGCAGGGCAAAATGGCACGCTAGCAAATTGGAAAATTGGAAAAAATTAGCCCCTCGTCCACGTTCAACCTACATGCACGAAATTTGGTGGGGACGTGTATCATATCAAGACGCACAAAAAAGCCTCAAGAACCCATACCCTAAACTCGACAGGAGGTCCGCCATTTTGAATTTGGCGCCCATTTTTGGACGATTTACAGACTCCGTACTTTAACGAACTCCTCCTAGGGATTTAGTCGGATCGACTTAAAATTTCTGCTGTGCCTTCTAAAGGCATTGACGATGTAAAGTTGTGCTATCTGCGCGTTTTCGTCGATGGGCGTGTCCGTGGCGTCGAAGATTCGCCATGAAACAGGAAGTTGTAGTAACTTGGCTGTAAATGCCCAGATCTGCACGAAATTTTACACATTTGACAAGAGTCACGCCCTGAACAAATCTACATGCCGACATTCTCCCAGTCATAGCGCCACCTGCTGGCAACAGGAAGTGGCCTTTAACGAAGCAGTGTGGCAAATGCACAGCCGCACTGGCTGAGCTGCAGAAAATGAAACGCGGCCGCCTCAGACCCCGACGTGCTACAGGTGCGAGGGCCCGCCCATCGCTGCTTGCAGCTTTAATTAGGATTATTATTAGGGCCCGAGCACTAACAGTGCGAGGACCCTATTGAAACTGTTAGGGTTATTTTTAGGGCCCGAGCACTAACAGTGCGAGGACCCTATTGAAACTGTTAGGATTATTTTTTTTTTTCTTTTTTCTGCAAAGTAAGTGCCATTTTCGGGGCCGCAACATGCTCAAAAACTCACCAAATTTGGCACGCATGTCAGGACTGGTGAAATAAATTCGTATTTTGTGGGTTTCGCGGATGCCACGTCATGGCAAAATGGCTCGCTAGCGCCACCTAGAAAATTGGAAAAAAATTAGCCCCTCGTCCACGTTCAACCTACATGCACGAAATTTGGTGGGGACGTGTATCATATCAAGACGCACAAAAAAGCCTCAAGAACCCATACCCTAAACTCGACAGGAAGTCCGCCATTTTGAATTTGGCGACCGATTTGGGACGATTTACACACTCCGTACTTTAACGAACTCCTCCTAGGGATTTAGTCGGATCAACTTAAAATTTCTGCTGTACCTTCTAAAGGCATTGACGATGTAAAGTTGTGCTATCTGCGCGTTTTCGTCGATGGGCGTGTCCGTGGCGTCGATGATTCGCAATGAAACAGGAAGTTGTAGTAACTTGGCTGGAAATGCCCAGATCCACACGAAATTTTACACATTTGACAAGAGTCCCGCCCTGAACAAATCTACATGCCGACATTCACCCACATTCATAGCGCCACCTAGTGGCAAAGGAAGTGACTTTTAACGAAGCAGCCCCCGTCGCATGTTTGACCGACATGTACGAAATTTCTGTGGTACATCTACCATGTCCAGACGCACAGAAAAGTCTCTTGGAGCGATGCCCTAAACTCAACAGGAAGTTAGCCATTTCTAATTTTACCGCCATTTTTGGATGATTTACTCATTACGTACTTTAACTAACTCCTCCTAGGGATTTAGTCGGATCGACTTCAAATTTCTGCTGTGCCTTCTAAAGGCATTGACGATGTAAAGTTGTGCTATCTGCGCGTTTTCGTCGATGGGCGTGTCCGTGGCGTCGATGATTCGCCATGAAACAGGAAGTTGTAGTAACTTGGCTGTAAATGCCCAGATCTGCACGAAATTTAACACATTTGACAAGAGTCCCGCCCTGAACAAATCTACATGCCGACATTCACCCACAGTCATAGCGCCACCTGCTGGCAACAGGAAGTGACCTTTAATAAGCATAGCAAATTCACAGCCGCACCGGCTGAGTTCCAGAATATGCAACGCGGCCGCCTCACACCCCGACGCGCTACAGGTGCGAGGGCCCGCCCATCGCTGCTTGCAGCTTTAAATTTTTTTTTTTTTTTTTTCTTTTTTCTGCAAAGTAAGTGCCATTTTCGGGGCCGCAACATGCTCAAAAACTCACCAAATTTGGCACGCATGTCAGGACTGGTGAAAAATTTCGTATTTTGTGGGTTTCGCAGATGGGCGGGGCAAAATGGCACGCTAGCGCCACCTAGAAAATTGGAAAAAATTAGCCCCTCGTCCACGTTCAACCTACATGCACGAAATTTGGTGGGGACGTGTATCATATCAAGACGCACAAAAAAGCCTCAAGAACCCATACCCTAAACTCGACAGGAGGTCCGCCATTTTGAATTTGGCGGCCATTTTTGGACGATTTACAGACTCCGTACTTTAACGAACTCCTCCTAGGGATTTAGTCGGATCGACTTAAAATTTCTGCTGTGCCTTCTAAAGGCATTGACGATGTAAAGTTGTGCTATCTGCGCGTTTTCGTCGATGGGCGTGTCCGTGGCGTCGAAGATTCGCCATGAAACAGGAAGTTGTAGTAACTTGGCTGTAAATGCCCAGATCTGCACGAAATTTTACACATTTGACAAGAGTCCCGCCCTGAACAAATCTACATGCCGACATTCACCCACAGTCATAGCGCCACCTGCTGGCAACAGGAAGTGACCTTTAACGAAGCAGCCCCCGCCGCTTGTTTGACCGACATGTACGAAATTTCTGTGGTACATCTACCATGACCAGACGCACAAAAAAGCCTCAAGAACCCATACCCTAAACTCGACAGGAAGTCCGCCATTTTGAATTCGGCGACCGATTTGGGACGATTTACACACTCCGTACTTTAACGAACTCCTCCTAGGGATTTAGTCGGATCAACTTCAAATTTCTGCTGTACCTTCTAAAGGCATTGACGATGTAAAGTTGTGCTATCTGCGCGTTTTCGTCGATGGGCGTGTCCGTGGCGTCGATGATTCGCCATGAAACAGGAAGTTGTAGTAACTTGGCTGTAAATGCCCAGATCTACACGAAATTTTACACATTTGACAAGAGTCCCGTCCTGAACAAATCTACATGCCGACATTCACCCACATTCATAGCGCCACCTAGTGGCAAGAGGAAGTGACATTTAACGAAGCAGCCCCCGTCGCATGTTTGACCGACATGTACGAAATTTCTGTGGTACATCTACCATGTCCAGACGCACAGAAAAGTCTCTTGGAGCGATGCCCTAAACTCAACAGGAAGTCAGCCATTTCTAATTTTACCGCCATTTTTGGATGATTTACTCATTACGTACTTTAACTAACTCCTCCTAGGGCTTTAGTCGGATCGCCTTCAAATTTCTGCTGTGCCTT